TGAGGACGCCGGCAGAGGGACAGCTGTGGCGTGTCTGGGCTGTCCACTGCCCGCGTGCTCCCCGGCTTTGCTCCCCGTCTCCCTGGTCTGCTGGAGAGAGAGACGGGGAGACATAAGTCGGATCTGCGTAACTCGGGGACTGCCTGTACTGTTTCTAATCTAGATGCTCTTTTTCTAAAGAGGCTTTTTCAAAAGCATCTTTCGAAAAAGGTGTGTAGTCTAGATGCACCCTCAGTGACATCCACTTAATGTATAAGTTAAAAAAAAGGAGCGGGGAAGTGTTTCCTCTACCCCTAATTGCCAGGCCTGCAAAATCAGTCATTGGCAGCAGCATACCTTACATCACCTTTTATACTGCTTGACTGCTTCAAGTTATGTGGAAGGATAAAGGTAAAACTGGTTGGACTGGCAAGCAATTACAGAAGCACAAAGGTGGCTTAAAACCACCTCTGTACATCCTCTCTGTTTCCCGAATTACAGGTGATGTCTTTGCCATGGTTTGTCTTGCCATGGAAAAACCAATGCATATTTGGTGTCCTTCTGAAAAAACAGAATGAAGACAAGGCACTACAGTTTTACTTAAAGGTAAACTATGTGTCAGCCATAGACAGGGGTTACAGTGCTGCCTTCAACTAACTACCGCACATTTACATGACAAGGCCATGGGCAAGATGGCTATCACATATTTTAGTTATCTGACTGTAAACACACATCAGTGTGTCAGCGCAGACAAAACCATACTGTGCATTTGTTGGCCACAGCTGAAGATTAGGGCCAATATTTGGAATGAACTTTTTGTCTTCTTGAAAAGTATACATCCTTGAAGGTGGGAGTCTTGTATTCTTTTATATTAAAAGCAGTGGTGAGTACTGTTGATAGATACAGATAATAATATAATCATCTCCAAGACTAATAAGACAGTTTATCAACAGACATCATTTACTTGAATATCTGGTGTGTGTGAGAGAGAGACAGAAGGGTGTGTGTGTGTGTGTGTGTGTGTGTGTGTGTGTGTGTGTGTGTGTAAAAGAAAGAGGGGGGGAGAGCCTGCTATCACTGGGGGCAAATGGGGCAATTGCCCAGGCTCCTGGCAGAACAGTAGGGCTAAGACAGGCTTCCTGCCCACCCTCACTCTATGCTGCTCCAGGAAGCAGCTGGCACATCCCTGCAGTGCCGGTGCTTCTCCCACTCAAGCATGGACTCCAAAGCTCCCATTGGCCAGGAATTGCAGGCAATGGGAGCTGAAGGGACAGTGCCTACAGACAGAAGTGCGTGGAGAACCTTTGGCCCCACTGCCTTGGAGCCACTGCTAGAGGACTGTACTGGTCTCTTTTGGGACCCCTTCGTGCCTCCCAAACCCCTGCCTCAGCCCACAATCTGCATTCAAATTCCCTCCCAGAGCGCACCCTTCTCTCGCACCCAAATCACTCCCAGAGTCTGCTCCCTCTCCCACACCCAAATGCCTTCCCAGAGCCTGCACCCTGCATCTCTTCCTGCACCCCAACACCCTGCCTCAGCTTGGTGAAAGTGAGGGGGGAGCAAGCAACAGAGGGAGGGAGCATCAGAGAAGGGACAGGACAGAAGCATGGCCTCAGGAAAGAGAAGGAGCAGGGGGTAGGGCAAGGGTCATGGGTTTGTGCGATGAGACAGTTGGCAACTCTACCAGGCGGGCATATGAAAGCCATGTCTGTCCTGGAAGAGCATGCTCAGCAGTGCAGCGGGCAGCTTACTGGGCACTAACTAGCACAGGTGCAGCATCAGCCAAATGTCAGGCAAACCATGTCCATGTGGACACTGCTTGTGCATGTGTAGGGGCCGACTGACTATTCTGGCCTGGCGACTGGGATTGCTGTCAGTAGGCCTGTAGAGATATAGATATAGATGATATATAGAGAGAATCCCTGTAAAGTAGCTGTTGGAAAACTATTAGCTACACAGTAACTGGTATAATCTCTCCTGTGTTATTTTATAAATACAGGCCTGATTCAATGCACAATATTATGTTTTCCTTTTGTTCCACACCTGGGAACTCTCCCTATAAACAATTTGTCACCTATGGGAACTCTTTTATGTTAACATATGATACACAAGCAGAGTCTTCATATGCCTGATAGCTAACAAATCATATACTTTCACTGCAATTGAGAGAAAAAGGGTCCCACTGCATTCAATAGTGAAGTTTCCATTAACTTCAGTGGAAGCAGGATGGAAACAAAAGAGAGTTTTGAAGGTGTCAATAGAGAATTTTGATTTTGCCTAACACTGCTAGCCAGAAACAGATTATTTTACAATAATTCCCAAGAAAATGGAGCTGTGATGGTGATCAGTCATTCAGAGTAAATGTTATACTATATGGAAGCAGGAAGCATTCAAACAAACTCCATAACTTTTTGTTGATGAAATGAAGGAGGCAATAGTAACATTAATAGATAAAAAGACTTCATTTTTATCTAGAGTATTTATTGTATAAATATTTACCTCGTCATGAGTTTCCTGTTTCTTTAAACCAGCACATTTAGTTATTATAAGCTCATGGCATCTCTTGTGGACTACACAAGTGCAAACTGTAAACAAAAAGGGGATGAAAGGATGAGTTTCATGAAGACAGTTTTTTTAAGTAAAAGCTTGAAGTAAAAAAGCTAAAACACCAGATCCCTTTCCCAGGAATATGAAAGGCATAGGCTAAAAAGGCCCAGATCCTCAATCTGTTGTTGGTACCACTTTTGTAATCATGTTGTTCCCAGTATCTGAGGGTATGTCCACACAGTAGCGTTATTTCACGTCTACACTACAAGCAGTTATTTAGACATGTCAAAATAATGTCGAGCTGGAGGACTTCTTACTCCGATTTCTGTAACCCTCATTTTATGAGGAGTAAGGGAAGTCAGAGGAAGAGTGCTCTTTCTCGGACTTCCTGCTGTGTAGAGAGTGCCAAAAGTCAAAACAAGCTATTTCAACTTAAGCTACGCAATTGACAAAGCTCATGTTGCACAGCTTATTTTGGCTTTAGCCCTGCTGTGTAGACATACCCTAAGAGACACAAGGGGAGTGAGATATCTTTTATTGGACTCACTTCTGCTGGTGGAAGAGACAAGCTTTTGAGGCTCAAAGAGTTCTTCTCCAGATCTGGGCTGACCTGAAGAGAAGTGCTGTGTAATTTGAAAGTTTGTCTCTTTCACCTACAGCAGTTGGTCCAATAAAAGGTATTATCTCTCCAGCCTTGTCTCTTCCAGATCCTCAAAGGTATTCAGGCTTCCATTATTGTAAGATAGGAACCTAAATACCTATGAGGGTCTGGCCCAAAGTGGCTTGTGATTTTTGCTATACAATTTAAAGCACTATAAAGAGTATGGTCTTTCAGGACATATCATTTGCACTTTTTTAAGATCAGGCCCCTTTAAGGAACTCTCAGGATCAGGTAACCAAAATCCAAAATTACAAATCATCTTTAAAACTCTTAGCTTATTTCTGTCAGTGAATAGCAGCTTATATAAAATACTTATTGTTTAGCTCAATCAATGGGATCAGCACTGAACAAGACATGAAGATAAAGACAGCCCCTACCTAATGAGCTTTCAGACTAAAAGAAACACAAATGCACATGTGATTCACCATAAAATCAGAAAAAGGAAAAAATGCAGATAATGTATTTATAATTACTACTAATAATAAATATTTTCCACTGTTCTAGAAGGAAAAGTGCTTTGTCAGGGGGGGGGGGGGAGAGAGGGAGAAATAGACACAGTAGATAAATATCTGCAAATACAGCAGAATGGATAACAATCTATTCTATTCAAGATAAGGAAAAATTGTCCTCCCTGAAAGGAAGAGTGGCTTTACTGACCCTGGCTACTTTTGAAAACAAGACACTGAACAAGATAGATGACAGGTGTATTCTGTGAGGCTGCAACCCCATATTTTTATAGAAATGTGTTTTTTTTAATATGAATAGGGCATGTAGCCTATGATTGGAGAACTTGTAATCCACTGAATGTGCATATTCTATTTGTGTGCATGCATCATTTTTGTATGTGAAATTGGAAATATGTAGTGTAAACCCATCTATTAATCTAAGTCCTCTAGTGAAAGCCATTAGTGGTACTTAAGGAACCTAATGGTCCAGTGCTTGAAAAAATGATTGGTAAATAGATTTGTTTTTCATGTATGCCTGGATTTGTAGTCAGTCCTACAAAAGACAGGTGACCATTTCATCTGGTGCTGGACTCTATCTTCAATTTTATATTTTTCCACAGAGAGAGGAGAATGGAACAAAGACTTCCCACACTGGGAAATTTCTATTAAAGAATGGGAAGCAAGCAATGATAGTCTTCAGCTGGATTCAAGGATTGTTCTCTACCACAAGATGACAGAAAAAAGACCTGTAAAGAAAATAACGCTAATGAGGGGGGCATAAACTGCTAGACTCAGATCAGGAAAAAAATCAGTTCTGGCCTAAGAAGAACTTTATCTGAAATAAGAACTAGGGTGAGAACTTTAGTACAGTAGACTTAGCTGGCATATTTTGATGTGTCTGTCACCATTTGCAACCACTTAAATCCTATTGTTTACACTTTATGAGCTTTATCTATGTAAAACTTTTATACAGAGTACGGTGGATTTATCTGATTCTATTGGGGCTGTGTACCAAGATGCTTTGTCAACAGCTGAACTGTTCTCAATGTGTGTGTGTTACTCTGTCAAAGGGGAGGCTGTTACCCCAAATCTGTGCCTTTGTTGGGGAAGACCAGAGCTTTTGATTCAGCAAAACAGGGTGACAGGACACCTCAGAGGGCAGGTAGGCAGGCTCAGTGGTGTAATCAACCCACTAGGTGACTGTCTCAAGAGGATCTCTGTGACCCAAACTATCATATATTCCACTAGAGTAATTTTTATTCTCTTATTTTTAAAAATGTTCAACATTTTTCTTATGATGAGAAAAACTAATTTTTTAACTCTTATAACTGAAAAATAACAATACATCCTGCTCAAACTTTCAAAATATAATCTTTGACAGAGACCAAAGCAGGACAAATTTCATCCCCAAGGTAACTGTTTTAAAAAGTTATGAGCATAGGAAATTAGAGATAAAAATAAAAACACGCAATCATAACCGTAACATTTGCTATTAGTGATCTCTATAATTATCTAAGGCAATTGATTACTGTATTTTGCCATTAGCACCCCTCATCCAAGGTTCACAAAATGTTTAACAGCATGGGATAAATCTGCCCTTTTTCTAGATAAAAACATTAGAACTAAAAAAGACAACATTTTCAGACAGGGACACTGTGACAATATGGGAAATCAGTCCATGTACAACTTTTGAATTTTGCTTCCTACTGGGGACTCTCTGGGTGTGTCTACACTACAACGTTAATTCGAACTAACTTAGTTCGAATTGGTTAATTCGAACTAAGCTAATTCGAACTAACGCGTCTAGAACTAAAAACTAGTTCGAATTAGCGTTTTGCTAATTCGAACTAGCAAGTCCACATTGAGTGGACTCTGAACAGGGCTTAAGGATGGCCGGAAGCAGTGCCGGCAGGGCATCAGAGGAGGACTTAGAGCGTGGAGATGCAGTCTCAGGCTAGCCGAGGGCTGCGCTTAAAGGGTCCCGACCCCCACCCCGGACACACAGTTCTAAGGGGTGCCCCGCTTGAAAACCAGTCCTGGCTTGGAGTGCCCGGAGTACCCACACTGGGCACATCACACCACTCGGCCATCAGCCCGGCTGCACTTGCCGCAGGCTGCCATCTGGGGAGAGGGGGCAATTGGGGGGCTGCAGGAGAGCTTCCACCCCCAGAAGCCCGCAGAGCCAGCCCAGTCCTCCCCATCGGGGGCGCGTACCCCATTCCTCCCTCAACTCCTTCCACTTACCCTTCCCTAGCCCCCCTTCTTATTGATGTACAAAATAAAGATAACGTTTCTTCCAACATTGACTCTGTCTTTATTGAACAAAACTGGGGGAGACTGGGAAAAGGAGGTGGGAGAGGGGAAGAGAAAGGCTGGGAGAGGGGAGGGCAACTAACATGATCAGGGGTTGGGAACAGGTCCCAGATGAAGAGAGGCTACAGAGACTGGGACTGTTCAGCTTAGAAAAGAGGAGACGGAGGGGGGACAGGATAGAGGTCTCTAAAAGCAGGGGTTGGGTGGAGAGGGTGCATTCAGAAAAGTTCTTCATGAGTTCCCATAAAGAAGGACTAGAGGACACCAAAGGAAAGGAATGGGTAGCAGGCTTGAAACTAGTAAGAGAAAGTTGTTCTTCACAAAGCAAATAGTTAACCTGCGGAACTCCTTGCTGCAGGAGGCTGTGAAGGCTACAACTAGAACAGAGTTTAAAGGGAAGTGAGATCAAGTCATGGAGGTTGGGTCCATGGAGTAGTCTTAGCCAGGGGGTAGGAGTGGTGTCCCTGCCCAAAGTTTGTGGAAGGCTGGAGAGGGATGGCACGAGACAAATGGCCATTTGTCTCGTGCCATCCCTCTCCAGCCTTCCACAAACTTTGGGCAGGGACACCACTCCTACCCCCTGGCTAAGACTACTCCATGGACCCAACCTCCATGACTTGATCTCACTTCCCTTTAAACTCTGTTCTAGTTGTAGCCTTCACAGCCTCCTGCAGCAAGGAGTTCCACAGGTTAACTATTTGCTTTGTCAAGAACAACAACTTTCTCTTACTAGTTTCAAGCCTGCTACCCAGTCCTTTCCTTTGGTGTCCTCTAGTCCTTCTTTATGGGAACTCAGGAAGAACTTTTCTGAATGCACCCTCTCCACCCAACCCCTGCTTTTAGAGACCTCTATCCTGTCCCCCCTCCGTCTCCTCTTTTCTAAGCTGAACAGTCCCAGTCTCTGTAGCCTTTCTTCATCTGGGACCTGTTCCCAACCCCTGATCATGTTAGTTGCCCTCCCCTCTCCCAGCCTTTCTCTTCCACTAGTAAGTTCGAACTAGGCTTAATCCTCGTAAAATGAGGTTTTCCTAGTTCGAACTAAGCGCTCCGCTAGTTCAATTTAAATTCGAACTAGCGGAGCGCTAGTGTAGCGCCTATGAATGTTAGTTCAAACTAACGTCCGTTAGTTCGAACTAACATTGTAGTGTAGACATACCCTCTCTGTGTATCTGTCAGACTGAAATCTTCCTTTTGATTGTGGGGAGTATTTGTTTTTTTTCTGATGTCTTTTGCCTCCACACAGAGCTAAAATCTTCAGGGGGTCACCTGGCAAAGAGCTAAGATTGTTAAACCTTGATGATTATCCATTCAAATGGAGCACCTTTGGAAAAAGAGATGGCTACAGATTGGACTTCCCTGGTCTGGCACCCTTGGCTTCTGACCAGTCCCAGACTGGGGAAGGTCTGTGAGGGAAAGGCACAGTCTCTTCACTGGGCTCCTCTCCCCAGCTACCTGGCACTGCTGCCCCCAGCTCTCTGACTACGGCAGCCCTCTGGGCTCCGTGGCCCTGCAAGCTTTGGCGACCTTGGCACCCATGCTGGCCCTGCGATCTCTGGTGGCACCAGCAGCCCTGCCAGCCCCTTGAGTTCCAGTGGCCCCGCTAGTGCTCGTGGTCCTGCCAGCTGTGGGCTCTGCAGTCCCTCCCTTCCTGGTCCCGCCAGATGTGGGCTCTGCAGCCTCCTTGCTTTGTGGACTCTGGCAGCCCCACCAGCTTTGCAGTGCCACTGCTGCAGGCTCAGTGCCCTGAGGACTCCCCTGTCCCACTGGCCGGCTCTGCTCCCAGACGCAGATGGGGCTCTCTAGTCCAGCAAAATCTCTGGTCCTGCTGGACCACAGATGTGGCTGGACCAGAGAATCCTGGATCACAGAGACTCAACCTGTATTGCCTAGGGCAAGAGACAGCAAACTTTCAAAGAAGAGCCATTTTTAAAAATTTTGTCTTTGATCAAAATATTTCAAAAGCCGCATCACACGCAAAGCTACTTCAACACATACACAAACACAGCAGGCATACAGCAGATGACAAACACATTCTCACGTACATAAACAAAACAAAACGATGGAATAAACTGTCTGTTTAGTTTTGTTTCCCCCTTGGTTATTCTCTAACAATACAGTTTGTACATTTTCTTGTCACCAAGACATTACAAAGTGACCCATTCCCTGTCGTATTTAATTACCTGCTTATTATCTTTATGTTAAATTATGTTGAAAATTGGTTTGGTGTAGGAAGGGGTTCTGGGCGGATGCAGCAGGTTGGAATGCAGGAGAGGGAGAGGGGTGTGAACTATGGGAGAGATTTGTTGCACGAGGGGGCTCCAGGCTGGGAAAGGGATTGCAGTTCAGGAGGAGTTCAGGTCTGAGAGGGAGTTTGGTGCAGGAGAGGATTCTGACCTGGGGCAGGGACTCGGGGTGCTGGAGGGTGTGCTAAGTGTAGGCTCTGGCTGGGAGGTGCTTATAACAGGTGCCAGCACAGCAGGGCTCAGGTAAGCTGCCTGCATGCTATGGCCCTACGCCACTCTCAGCAGCAGTGGGCTGCTGTCATTTCTCCACCTGCCCCTTAGGAGGAAAAAGGGACACTGGGCATAGCCCCCATGCGCCCTCCCCCTCCCACTGGGGCATTCACAGATGTGCCAGCAGCCAGCTGTTTCATATACCCATGGCATGCAGGCAGCCTACTTGAGCCCTGCTGCACCACTGCACTTTTAGCAGCCCGCAAGGAGTAGCAAAAGAGCTGCAGGCAGCTCTGGAGCCACATGTTGCCAACCACTAGCCTAGCAAATCTGAACTCTAAGGGTGAGGTAATTAAGACTGATCAGGTGATCACATGACAAAGTGGACTAGAGGTCATAAAAGAAAGGGTCTCTCACCAAGCATTTGAGAATCAGAGAGAGAAAGAGAAACTCCATATTCCAGAGAAGAAGCCACAAACAGGAAGGCAGGGGAAGAGGAAGGATCCTGGAAAGGATTCTGACCTGAGCCTACCAAGAATGCTCAAAAGTGGTGAGAAAACAGAGGCAGGAAAAATGTGTAGAGGTAACTGACTGTTTGGTCTAGCTCCATATATCTGTTGAGTTATCTAAAGTCAAACGTAATTATATTAGAAACGTACAAAGCCCGTCTCTTATGTATTTTAACTTTCACCTGGAGAGGTAAATGGCAAACCAAAGTGTTCACAAGGTTAGAGCTCTGGAAATGTGTGTGCTTAAGCACTAGTCCTGGCAGCCTAGAACAGCTAAGCCACAAGGTACCATTTGGTTAATACCAAGGAATTATGCCAAGGAGGCCAAAGAAAGAGATGGTAGCTGGAGCCAATACAGGCTCAGAGCAGCTTAAAAGCACGTAGACCCGTGTGGAAGACCTAAACACTGCAGCCCTGGTCAGTATCCAGCAGGGGCAGTGTTACCAGGGCTACAACAACCACTAATTTCAGCTGGCTAGCCTGAAAGGTGTGCTTTTCAGAAATGTTAAGTATATACCGCTCCTACCCACTTCAGCTGAACTAGCTCTTGTTAAAGGACACTTTTGAAAATATAAGAGACTTGCTCTGAGTCAAAAGTCAGTGACTGATCCTGTTACACATTCTGATTCATTGTCTTGTACTCCAACCTTGCGCTTACATGCACACTATGTCTGATGAGTGGTGTATAACCCTGCTTATTTATACGTAATAGCAATAATATATTAATATATATTTAGTTTCTCTTTGTACATTCTTTCTTACCTTGACATTGGTATCCCTGTTTTCCTATTACACCCCTGTAGATGAGAACATACATAAAGTATTTTAGAAAATGTAAAATATACAGATAAAAAGTCACACTATGCTATTTTCTTCTTCTATTGGCAAGGTTCATGATTCTATTGAACATTTTCGTGTATTACACAGCCTGCATGCTTCATTAATGGCCTGGTTTTCAAGTCATCTACTTAATATGGGAGAAAGATAAATCATATGACTGAGGAGTGAGTGCACCATCTGGATCATGTACTTTGTACATTCCTACTTTCTCATGGACAGTTCTCTGTCTACTAAACACATGTAGTCCTAATGAACTGAAACTTGCTTTTGCTGATATTTCTCTTAACTTTCTGAAATGTTGCTTAATTAGAATTTCTCTTTCCATGTCTAAAATTGACAGTGTACACACAATTACATAAGTACTTTATTGTTTAGTCTAACTCTAACTCTTGCCCCTCTTTTATAATGTTATATTTACTCTGCAACTATTTTTTTTACACGTACCAATAGCATACAAGGCAAGTACACTGCAAGCAGGTATACCATCAGCCATGCCACCATCTCTGGGTTTTAGCATGTCTTGAGAAGTTTATTTTAGCATAAATAGACTTAGGCTATGTCTAGACTAACTGTGCCACTTTTTTTATGGAAGAGCAGATGCGCTCTTTCAGAAGTCCCTGTCTTCCTCCTCCCATGAGGAAGCAGGGCTCTTCCAAAAGAGGAGGATTTTCTGAAATTTGGTCCAGTGTAGGTGGGCCAAGTTTTGGAAAAGCCTCTTCCAAAAAAACTATCAGAAAAAGGTACATAATTTGCGGAGCGCATTTTGTGTACCTTTTTCCAATAGATCATTGTAGACTAGACATAACCTTATTTAAATCCAAACCCATGATGTGCACAGTGTGAAAACAAGAAACCTCAGGATGTTAGAACACAGAAGGACTGTTGTGCATCTTTTGCCTGTTGTAATTTCTCCCTGAACCATGTCAAAACTCCTCTAGCCTAGCGCCCAATCCTACTGTCCTTTCTGACATGAGTCAAGACAGCTTGAATGTATGTGACTTCACTGTAATTATGTACTTGTGAAAGGCTTCAGGAGCTGGCCTCTATATTATAAATTCTTCAGAACAGGGATTTAGAACTACATTCTGCTTCTTCCTACACCAGAGTAAATCTGGCATAGCTCTACAGAAGTTAGTGGTGTCATCTCTCCCAGTGGAGTCACTTTCTTTGTAAAGTAACACACATCTGTACATAGCTGGAATTCAGAAAAATAAATTGTTTTTGAAGTGGAGCTCTTGACTTAGTGCTACGTTATGATCTTTGTTAATTCAGCCATGCACTTTAGACTGAAATGTGGGTACCTAAATAAAGTGACCTGACTATCAAATGTGCTATGCACCTGCATCAACTTCACTGGGATATGTGGCTGCTCAATGCTTCTAAAAATATGGCCACTTTTGCCTAATTATGAATTTAGGACATAACTTCAGGCATACTAGTCAAAATTTATATCCTTAATATTAGGCTCCTAAATCTACTTTCAGGCACCTCTATACAAGTGGCCTGATATTCAGAGGTGCTGAGACCCTAACAAATGTCACTGAAGTCAATGAGAGCTGCATTGCTCGGCATCTCTGAAAACCAAACCTCTTTGATTTAGGTGTCTAAATATGTATTTAGGAGCCTAACTTTTTTTTTGGACTCATTTTTAAACAATATTAGACCCAGGTTTGAAAATTTTGGCCAACTTCTTCAGTTAGAAAAAAATCCTTGCTTCTCCACTAACGGATACTGACAATATACTCAGATAAAGCTGGTGAAATTGACTAGCTTTTTCCCCCTCAAAGGTTGTTTGTTATAGTCACTGCAGGAAGGAAGAAGCTCAGAAATGAAGAAGGAGAGTAAAGGCATTGGATGGTCTGATAAGATGTCTTGGATGAAATTCTGGAACAAAAGAAGTCAATGGCAAAGCTCCCAATGACTTAAATGGAGGCAGGATTTTGCACTTGGAGGTGACAACAAACCCCTTTTCTAGAAACCTCATTCTGGATGGTTACTGCATGCCAGCTAGCAGTTTAGTTTCTGAAATGCCCTGAACTCATATCCAAAATATCTGTATTTTTTAGGGATTTTCCTCTTAAAAACTGAAGCTCCTGAAAACTTCAGAAAAAAAAATTGGCCATGAGTACTTCCTTCTCATACAGAAGGTATTCAGGATGGCTACCAAAAGAGGAAGAGGTTAGGAAGGCACAGAATCAAATTCAGTTTCACGATGATTTAATTGACATTACTGAAGTTGTCTGGATTTCTGCCCACATAACTGAGATTGGAATCTAGCTCGTGAGTGGGCAAATTCTCTCATAGGCCACAGAACATCTCCTG